GTAGGAGGGGATCTCCCTTGCACCTTAGATGTTTCTTAAGGTGAGGTCTTGGAGGGGAGGAGGTGCAGCACCCTGAAGAGAACCTAGAGTTCTGGTTTTAAGATATAGATTGGGTCCTCCACAGACTCAAAGCTCAGTTGGGGTAGGTGCTGAGGTCTGTGTGGCATATCTTGGACCCCCAGCGTGACACCTGTCCTCCCTTCCCATGGGTTAGCAGAGAACATTCTGTCTGATGGGGTGTTGTTGCGTCAAGTTGCAGATGGCAGAGACCATTTTTCAGACAAAGCAGATAGAGGTGTTTCAGGTCTGTGCCGTTTCATTGTTTCTTTCTATTTCTGGTGTGTTTTTTCCTTCAGTGACAAGAAAAGGAAGTTGGAAACCAAACAAGAACCTAAACAGAACAAGAAGTTGAAGAAAAACAGAGATCTAAAGAACAAAAAAGATATGAAACTGAAGCGGAAGAAATAGTGAAGAAAAACTTGGGTCTCAATGGCCGCCTGTGAGGAGGTACCTGACTTCCTAAGCCATCTCTGGGTGGCAGCCTGGACGATTAGAAACAATTGGGGTCCCAACAAACGCACAGGTGGGCTGTGATGAAGTCTGTAGGCCTGACTGTGCCCCTCTGTGGGCCCTACTGACTGAAGACCAAGTGACTCCCACACGCTTCTGCTTCCAGCGTGGTGGCTGGGCCGCCTCTGCACCACCAGGAGTGTGTCTCTCTCGGCCTCCATCCTGGCCCTCCTTTCCCATAGGTTTGGATTTCACTGTGGCCAGCTTCTCGGCCCGGTTCCCACATGTGGGAAAGCCATGCTGACTGTCCCTTCCCAGGCCCTGAAGTATTCAACTTCCTGGTGATGTTCAGGAGGATGCTCAGTGGCTGCTGGGTCTCATCTTGGACTGTCCCAGTGCCCTGAGACTCTAGTGCACCCAGTGGCCGCTGTTGTGTGCACCAGGGTTTGTGGATGCCATATCCTGTTCCACTCCTGGCTTAGGCTTGTTGCCCTCAGTCTCAGAAGAGCTCGAGCCTTTAATTTAAGTCGTATGTGACATCTGAGTCCTCAAGACCTGTTATATCATCATTTGGGAAAAAATGTTGGGCAAGGCCCTTTTGCTAGCAGGGTTGAGGGGAGGGATAGAGAATCTATTTTTAATAAATAACATCCTAGCAAGACTATTTGCCTGTGGATGCTTCTGAAATTCATGTCTCTGAATTTGCTTCTTACCCTGTTTGTTACCCCTGTGGATCTGGGCTGCTGGGTAGAATTTGGAGGGTTTGGTGTCAAGGCTAAGGATGGGCAGCGTGCTCGAGCTCCCAGCCCAGGAGCCTGTGGGAGAAGCGGCAGGTACTGAGGATGGTGGTGTGGGGCCAGGAGTCGGCTAGCTGGGCCTCCTTTCCTTCCTAGCTCCTGTTAGGTTTTTTTGGTCCATCCTGTTTGGAGACAGAAATTATCTGGTGGCTTCACAAATACACTGGTGTGTGTCTGGTTTACACTGTAACCCGAGTGATGGAGGCTTGTTGTTTAGGCCAAGTCCAACTTACCTTGCTCCACTCTGGATGTAACCTGGGCTGGTAGAAGTCTAATGGAAGGGTGGTGGCTGGATGCGAGGGTATTAATTAAATTCACGACTCCTGGGACTCTTCCCAGTGGGGGAAGTGCAAGCTTCCATGCCTTTTCTTAGGACTGCTGTGACTCCTGTCTGGGACAATGGGGCCCTGGGTGAGGGGGCCTTTGTTTCCTGGATCTGCTGTTTCCTGCTGCAGACCTTGTGTTGGGACTTCAGGAAGGTCTGCTTAAAGGACACGGGAAGGTAACTTCATCTGTTTCTTCAGGTGGGTGCCTGAGCCTGCCTGCCTTAGCAAAGTGTGGCCCCAAAGCGGAGTGAGCGCTGGGTGGCCAGAGGATGGTTTAAATTACTGAGCACATCATCTGCCAGGTAAGGAGGCCCTTGTTGAGACTCTCCAGCCCTGCAGCCTGTCCAGCTGGCTCTGCTGTGGGGTACAAGGTGAGAGGCTCTGAGCCAGGTGCCCATAAATGCTGCCCTGACCCTCACGGAGACCTTGGGCACTTATGGTTCAAATGTTCACACCAAATTTGCATTGAAATTTTAATCTCCATTGTGAGAGATGAAGAGGTGCCATTGTAAGAGAAGATTGAGTCAGGAAGGCTCTGTTCTTTGAAGGGACTGTTATTAAAGTCATCCTGTCCCACAGATGAGCCCACTCGCTGTGCGATGCCCTGTGCTTCCTCAGGCTCCCTAGGGTCTCCACAGCAAGCAGGCCCTCATCAGATGTGGCCCCTCAACCTGGACTTCTCAGCCTTCAGAACTGTAAGAGAAACTTACTTTCTTTATAAGCTACCCAGTTTCAGGTATTTAGTATCAGCAACAGAAAGTGGACATATGACCTCACTCTGTGTGCATTCCAGGTTCATGTGTCACATGTGAGTGGTATGCTAGAAACCACCTCCCTGCTGAGGGGACCAGTCGCGGGAGTAGATGGGGAAGAGCTTAGCACTGTATAACTGGCACGGCGAGTGCCAATACCCAGATCTAACTAGGGGAGCTGCTCAGCCATGTGCCAGCTCTAAGACAAATGCCTGCTATTTTCTAAGCAGTCCTGAGCTAAAAAAGTCTCATATGGACAGCAGAGCATGCCTGTACCTGGACCTTTGGTTCAGGGTGATAGCTCCATGTCTTGAGATAAGGTGCCTAACTTCTGAAATAATCTTCATCCTCTGCAACCAAAAAGGCAGTCAATGTCCCACCAGCTGTGTGGAGTTCTGGCTCTTTTATTTGCAAAGCGAGTGTTCCTAAATGGGTCTCTGTGTTCTGCAGTCTCTTGAGTTCTCCTTCAAACCTGAAAGGACAAGCCTCCCCCAGACCTCACCATCTGGCCCCCAGACAGTGTCATCTGTAAAGCTCTACTGTTGCACAGGAGATGTCACTTGTAAAATGAATTCAGATAGGCCATCTCTGAATGCTGTCACGAGGACAAGGAAGAGGCTGAGAAGCCTGAACAAAGGATTCCTGACTAGCCTCCCCCACCCCCAAGCCAGGAGGGGCTTGTGCTAGCCGGCTTCCTGGCTTCCACAGCTCATCTGGTCCTGCCAGTCCCAGGGGACTCAGGAGTGACCAGGAGACACAAAGGGATTGCTGAGGCTGGGAGGTGGGGGAGGGACAGAAATAAGTGACCGTCACCTTGGAAAAATGTAGGCTCATTATCTAAGGCCCTAACAAACGGTAGGCAGCCTGGGGGCCTGGAGAGGGGTGGCTCCAAGGAAGGCCCTGGGGCCCAGGCTGGGGAGGGGTGATGGAGCTCTTGATTCTGTAAACAACTGGTTAAAACGAGCAGTTTCTGCAAAGGGCTTCAAAGGCCTGGGCTTCCTGGTAGTGTTTTTGGTTGGCTCTGGAGAAAGCTATGACCACCCTGCCTCTGGCATGGGGAACGTCTGGTGGGGAAGGGTAACGGGCAGAGTGCAGAAAGGAAAGTGAAGTATTGGGCGGGGGATGCAGAGGCCACCACCTGGAAGGAAGGTGGCCCAGGGTCGACTCTGGCACCCCTGGTGTCTGGAGAGGGACCTCCTTAGGGGGTGAAGGCCCAGGCACCTGCTGTGCAAATGCTGCCCGCTCAGTGCCATGCACTAGAGTGAACTCTGTGTTCTGAACTCATGCTTTCAGCTGGGCACCCTGGGGCTCCTGTCTGGCTGCTAGTAGCCTGAAGCTGGCAGCTGAGAAATGCCCCACCATGATCCTGATCAGTGGCCCTGGATTATAGGGAATCCAGCTGCTGGGGTAAGTGAGCAGGTACTTCCCAGCCCCTGAGAAGAAAGTCTTTTTGTTGTTGTTTGTTGTTTTAAACCTTTGTATTTCTGCTATACATAGGCTCAGAGGGGCTTTTTAGCCTCCCTACCCCTCTTCTCCCAAAAGAGAACCACTGATCCACCTGGAACCAGAGCATAACTAGACCTTCCTTGCCTTTGAGGCTGGAAGTGGCCCTGCTTGGGGTGGGAGGGTTGGACATAGACTCCTGAAGGGCAGCCCCTCTAGATCACCAGTCTTGGGGAGGGACACCCTCTCCACCACCTTCAGGGCTTTTGTACAAGATGGTGCTGAGTGTGCTTCCTCCCTGTGGCTCCCAGATGGCGCTGTGTTCTACATGGTGCAGAGCTCCCTCACCCTGCTGGGTCCAGTGCCCAAGCTGGGCCTCAAGCCACCCTACTTGGCCCCCACCCCAGCAAAGCCAGGAAACAGGCCTTTCCCTGGACTGGGACTGACTGCTGAAGGTCGTCGTTCCCCACTCTGAATCCCGGTGTGTTACTAAACCACAGCCACTCTGGGTCAGGTTCCCAATGACCGGAAGAGTTATTCTTCTAGACTAGGAACATTTAAAAAAATTTCTGCCTGGAATTTGCACCTAAAACTACAACAGGGCCTAGGAAAACTTTGGTCCTGAGTCACTGGCTTACCATACTCCTCTACTGTCTCTGCCGGGGTCTCTGTACTTGGACAGTCCACTGAGCAGAGTGTACAGGCAGCAGCCCCCACCCCAGGGGCAGGTACCTCTCATCAGGCCAGGCCTGCATGGAGGTACTGTGTGGGCCCAGTTTGCGGATACCCACAGAGCTTCTTCATCCCTTCCGTGGAAGGGCCTGGATCCGGAGGTCAGGAAAGCCCCCATACCTCTCCCATTCCTCAGTCTGGCTCCTGTCCAGTCTGATGCCACATCTGTGCTTAATAAATCATCATCTACCTCATTTTACAGGTGAGAATAACCAAGCCCTAGTGAGGGACAGATCAAGACAGAGGTTCCTGAGGTGAGTGTGGCCACAGCACTGCTTTGGAAGGGGATCCCCCCACACACACACCCTAACCCGTTCAAAAACCCAGAACTGAGTTCCCGGGAGAGACCGGGAACTCAGTTCTGGGTTTTTGAATTGGTCCTTCTGGCCCCTCCCAACCCCTGACAGAGCAACCCTCTACCAGGAGCACTGAGGCCAAAGTTACTGTTAATGAGTTTATTGTTAATAAAACCATGGTACATTTACAATAAGTGACATTAATATACAGTTACTGTATCATACAATATTACAGCAATAAAATAACACCTATTCCTTTGTACATCCAGCTCAAGCAGCTAGTTGAAAATATTTTCTAGGATTGCAAGCCCCAGGGGCTTTTCAGGCTGAGCAAGTGACATCTCCTGAAAATGCCTGGGGCTTTTGATGAATAAATAGTTTCTAAGGTGCAGCCAGGCTCCACCTAGAGCAAGCTGTCTTTGACGTTGCCCCAATGTCTGGTCCATAATAAACAGGCCAGTTTTTGGTCTCTCTCTACCCCAGGAGAGCCCAAAGACTGGGAAGTTGTGGGGGTACCCTGCTGAAGGGCCTCTTCTCCCAGCCCTTCCACCACTGCCCTGTCCTTTTTGCCCAAGAGCCACAATGAGAAGTGGGCCCTCTCTCTAGTCCTGAGTTAAAGAAACCTTTCATTTGAGAGACTCGGCCAGGGAGGACGAGTAGGTGCTGCCGCCTGAGCCAACAGGTAGCCTAGGTCTAGGCCTGAGGTTCCAGAATCCCCCCTTTACTTTGGACCCTAACAACAGCAGCCATAGCTAAGGCCACTGAGCTCTGCCAGCACCCTGGCCTCAGAAGCCATCAGCTGGAATTGCAAGTTAGCAGTCCTAAAAAGAGGGTCTCTGTCGGCCCAGGCTCCAGAGAAAATGGAAGACTCAAAGCAGGCCCCTGCCAAGCCTTTCAAAGGCACAGCCTGAAGGACAGGTGCGGGAATTTGGGCGGCCTTTCCTCTGGACACTTAGGAAAATACCAGCTTTTGCACCGAATGGTCTGGGCTCAGAGGTTACATTCTATACATTCATTAGTATGCCCACCGTCCCAAGAGCCCCAGCTTCGATGGTCAGAGCTCAGTGAGGCCCAGGGGCAGGTACAGCTTGGAGCAGGGATAAGTTCAGGAGCAGGTCTGACCATCTGAGGGGAAAGGGCATGCGGTGGGGGTGCTGGGAAGTCCTTAAGGTAAAAATGTACAGAGAAGTGCCATACGCCCCTTTGCCAGTCACTGGCTGTTGAATCCATTAGCTCAGGGTTGAGGCTGCCTAGCATGATGGGTTGGCTCAGGGCCATCTGCCTACCCAGGATCTATCAACACCAGGGTGGGTGTCTGGGGGAAGGAAGGGAACAGCCCCATGAGCGCCTATGTCTCCTCTTCAGGGCCCTGGTGGTTCTGTTCCTGGCACCTTTATGTACCCCCATGGTGTGGGCCAGCTGTTCCCGCTTCTGCCTCACACTCGGGAAGTGACGTAGACAGAGTGCACACGCTCGGCCAGCGTGCTCTGCAGGTCCTGCAGCGGGTCCAGGCCCTGCACTTTGCTGCTGCGGCCGTAGATGAGCTGCCGGAAGGCGTCCTGCTCCAGCAGGGCTTTCATGTGCTTGAGGAAGAAGCCCTCGCAGAACAGGGCCAGTTCTGGGGCATTGTGGATCTGTGGGCAGGGAGAAGAGGGGTGAGGTACACTTGCACAGACTACCTGCAACTGCCCCCCCCAACCTCAACCCCAGATGTCACCCACCCAGGGCCAAAGCCCAGCTTAAACTTTGCCCTGGCCCCAGGGGAAGTGTTCCCCATCTGCATCTTGAGGCCACCTCCCCCATATCTGAGTCCCTTCCATAAGCACCTGGGAGCAGGTCCCATTGGTTCAAGTCCTAGCTGTGCCATCAAGAGTATTATTGAAGTCTTTCTTTGCCTATGTCACATGAGTGACATCTTATTGAACAGCAGTCATCCCCCTTGCTAAGAGAAGGGACTGTCTAGCGTCCAGCACAAGGCTTAGCACAGGAGTGCCCACTTGGTGGATGCTCATAACTTAACACACGTCAGCTGGCTCTGGGCATTAGGTGCTGAGGTCACGTCTCTACAAGGCTCTCTGCAGCTAATGTTCTGGGATGGGGGAGACAACAGCCAAGGAATCAGCCAGATAAGGTGATTGCAGACAGTGCCCAAGGCTGCCAAAGAGATAAAAGCTGGTGATGTAGAGTGATAGGGTGGCTTGTGGGAGGTCTGGGGACATCTGACGCAAAGGGCTGGACTTGGGAAGAGGGAATGGTTTTCACAGGAGACCTGGGCAAGCTGAGAAGGCAGGCTAGTGTGTCAAGGCAGGGGTTGTGCTGTGGTTCCTGGGGAGCACGTTGAGGGTTGGCTCTTTAGTTTGCAAGCAGTGGGAAACCTCTGAGGGCCTCAATTAGGGGGTGACATTTGGACTTTCAAAAGAACCTTTTGGATGGCAGAAGAGAGGCAAGGGAGTAGGGGGATGAGGCCAAGGCAGTTATCAGAGATGAGGTTGCAGAGTGGGGACAGGAGATGGAACGGACAGACTGCTGATGTCTAGCAGAAGTAGGTGACCAAGATGTGGGAGGTTTTTTTAAAAAAAAAAAAAAAAAAATCAAAACTAATGGGTTTTGAGTCAAGCAGATTACAGTACTGTTTGCTGGAATGTGGAAGACAGGGTGGTGGGAGGAAGCCAAGGGAACTTGAGGAGTTGATTTGACACAGACTCGGTTACCGCTCTGGTCCACAGAGCTCCATGGCGTGGGGCCAAGCTGGAATATGACCATGTGTGGGTGGCAGTGATCACAGAGGGGGTTGCTGCTAACACCTCAGCACCCTCCACTGCCCTTCCCATGGTGTGGCCACTGAGCAGAGCCAGTGGAGTAGTGTGTGACTGGGAGGTGGCTTCAGTGTCCCTAGTGCTCACCTTGGCATATTTGTAGGTGTTCACAGCGCTCTCCACACTGAGGGTCTGTGAGCACAGGATCTCGCAGTGCCTCTGCAGGGCGTCCAGCTGGAACAGGCTGGCAGCAGACAGCAGCTGGTAGGGAGGCAAAGCAGACTTGAGTACTTGTGACCAGGCTTGTGGCCTGGGCATCAGAGAGTGTGCCCTGCTTCCTCCAAGCCTTAGGCCCAGCCTCGTTGTTGTTCAGTTGCGGGGCAGAGGTGATGGCCTGGATTTGTTTTTGCTCTAGGCCATCTCGGTATTAACAGGGACAATGGGGGAGGCACAGAATGGGTGACAAGCAATGTCAGGTCTGAGTCATGTGCTTCATCTACATGAGCTGCTGAACCAAGCACCCAGGCCAGCAGTGGCCAGGTGAGTGAGAGGCCCAGGAACCATCTGTCCTTTTTTTAACCTGTGGGCTCAGTGCTGTACACAATTCCCAGTCTCCAAACTTATTTCAGAACTGTTCTTGGCAGATGAAAGGAAGGATCCAACAAGGAAGCATGAGGTCCTCACAGAAGTCACCTTCCTCCCCTTTTACCCCTCCAAATGTTGTTTTTGAGAGTGGGGCTGAGGCCTACAGGCGCCTAGAGCTGGAGAGCACACATGCAGAGAAGATGAGGGACGCTCACCTCCAAGATGTCAGCAGTGGGGATTTCCATGGACTCTGTCCCTCCGTAGTACAGGTACTGCATCATCATCTGCCATGGAAGAAGCCCTTGGTGAGAACCAGTCAGACACAGCGTGCAGGTCCATACCCAGCCCCCAGGGTGCTCCCCTGGGCCTTCCCATCTTGCCTTGCTGCAGTCCCCTAACTTTGTCTTTTTGCTTAGAGTGGGATTCTCAAATGCTGTGTTTTCCCTGAAATGCCACCTCTTGCAGCCATCTCCAAGACCATCTCCTGACACCTTCCTTGGATGATGGGCTCCTGTCCCTGGGGTGGGTGGGGCTTCCCTTTTAGCCTCATGACAACCCTGAGAGCCCTGGAGGGAAGAGGGCTTGGCTTGAGTCAGCCACTCATGTCTCCACACTGCTCTTGGCTTGTGTTGTTTAAATTCTACACGTGGAGCCAGGAAGGAGGCGAGTCTCCGAGGGGACAACTGTCTAACTTGCCACCCTCAGAAGGCCATATGTGAACACTCAGGCAGGTCTGTCCCCTAAAAACAAAGTGTAGAGCCTAGGTCCTCATCTGGGGCTCACATCTCTGCCTGGGGCTCTCAGGAATTTGGTGGGGGGTCTGCCATCACACTGGAGCCTGGTGAGGTTCCCAGCTGGAAAAAGAAAAACAATTCTCTCGGGTTGGCTGAAGAAACAGCCCCAGCAGGGCCCTGGCAAGCGACTAGGTAAACAGGCTCCAGCCCTCCAGCCGGCGCAATTGGGCTCTAACGGACTGGCCTTCAGGCCAGAGAAGCACCAGAGGGTCTGGGAGACAGCCCAGCGGTGGGAAGAGGAGCAGCCTGCAGGGGCCAGGTACTGGGAGACATCAGCCTGTCCCCAGGAAAGTGGGCCTCGTGGGCCTTGTGCAGCCCTGGAGGGAAGCTGCATAGTCATATTATAATTGCACTTCCACTGTCTGTCCCTTGGGATGGTGCATGTCTTAGCCCTTCTGTGCTGAGTGGCAGTGCCTGCAGGACAAGGCACAGATGCTAGATGCCCAGGGTTGGAACAGGGTAGGTGGGTCAAATCTTCCAGGATTCTTTGCTAAGGGATGGCCTCAGAGCAGCCTCTTGGCAAGAGGTTGGGGATCTAGGCAGCCAGCTTGTGGTCCCCTGCCACAGCCTGGAAGGCCACCTCGTGCTGGCTTTTAGGAGCTGATTTCTGTAAGCCCCTGCCAGCAGTAGTGCGTGGACCTCCCTGGGGTCTTCCCGATGCATATGGTCCCCAGAAGCCAGGTCAGAACTGCTCCCTTGGAGCCTTGTGGAGGGAGGCTAATTTTGCATTGCCTGGCAGCCCCCAACAGATGGGGTCACCTGCCCTAAGGGCTGCCAGAGGAAATGCCACAGGCAGGACCAGCTGTAGAGGGATGGCAGGCTTTCCTTCTGCTGTGAGTGGGCCACCAGGAGACTGTAGTGCAGAGACAGGACCTCAGAAGCCATGTCAGAATGGCAGGATTGGGACCTTTGGGGCTGTTCTTCAAAAGCCTAGGTTTACCATGCTTGTTAAGTCTCTAGACCTACCATCCAATATGCTAGCCCTGGCCAGATGTGGCTTCCAAGCACTTGAGCTGTGACTCGTCTGGATTAAGTTACGCTGTGTAAATACACACTGGATTTTGAAATCTTGGTATAAAACATCTCAGTAATTACATATTAAAATTAATTTAAACTTTTTTTTTTGGTTGGCAGGTAGGTACTAGGATTGAACCAGGAATGCTTTACCACTGAGCTACATCCCCAGCGCTTTTAATAGTTAGTTGGTGAGGCTGACCTTCAACTTGTGATCCTCTGGCCTCAGCCTCCTGAATTGCTCAGATTACAGGCATATACCAGCACATCCAGTTAATTTAGTGTTTTAAAAAATCTGACTACGATATTTTAATCTGTAATATGTGATTCTCATTATCTTTATATGAGATTTGATCTCCTCAGGTTTCTGTTTCCTCCATTAGAAAACAAAGGTGATGAGCTCTTTCCTTCCTTCTCAGTTCTATGAGAGCTACTGAGGTATCTGGGGGTGGCTCTGTTAGGAAACCCTGATCCTGGCTTGTGGCTGTAGGCTGATCCCTCCAGGGGAGCCTGGAAATCAGGAGTGGATGTTTGGGGGGGGCCTCTCCTAACTGCAGAGTCTGTATACATAGACCCCCAAGGGATAAGTCCACCATCAGCCTCAGAGGCCTGGGGAGGAGGCAGTACTTTCAAAGCCATGTGTGCCACAAATATTGGTCCTGTTCCTATTTAACCTCTCGACTAAGCCTGATCTGCTCTGCCCTCCCTTGGCCCAGCAGGTAAGCAAAGTAGCTTTGCTGGGCAGCCAGCTCCACATGTCCCAGCGGTGTCACTCTGTCCCCACTCTCCTCCAGATCCGCCTCTGTTATGACTCCACTGTGTTCTCCACCTCACCTGAACTTTGGGTTTCTGGACCAAACAAGTATGTGAAGCTGCCCCAGTGAGTTTGACAAGGGATGAGAAAGAGGGAAGGGGAGACGCCTCCACACTCAGGCCAGAACCTAGGGTCTCTTCCCTGCTTCCCCCACCCCCATTCTCCCCTGGTCAGTTACTGCGTCCCATCCATTCACCCTGGTCCACTTTCCTCTATCTCCTGCTGGGGCTCCAGGTAGAGTCGTGCCCTCTGGTCCTTTCTAAATGTAAATGCTGCACAGGTCTGGAGTTTGAATCTTGGCTCTATCACTTCCCAACTGTGTAACCTAAGCCAATACTCAACTTCTCTGTGCTTCTGATTCATCAGCCAAACAGGGGATAACAATATGCCTATGTCCCCTAGGGCTGTGATGAGAGCCCATCCTCCCCAAAGCCTTTGAAGCTTCCCCAGTCCAGTTTTTGGGTCCAAGTCCTTCAGGCCATGGCTTATTCCTGGTGGTTCCGAATTGATAACCCATGGCCTCTGCATTTGCTGTTCCCTCTACCTGGAGCTCCTTCTCACTGGTCTTTGAGACGGGAAGATGTGCCCCCTCATCTCCTCACTTTTGGGGGAAACACCCTTTTCCTGTACCACCAGACCCCATGCATACCCCTCTGTTTCATTTCTTGTCTTGCTGAGACTGGAGATCCTGTTACCTCTCTATAGTAAACATGTGACTCAAGGGAGCATGGGAAAGGAAATCAGCCATTCTGTTGGTGGCTCCCTGTACATCCATGCCATGCTATGCTTTCTGTTATTTCTTTCCTTAGATGAAACCCTCTTGGCCTCTGGAGGAGTTCAGCCGGAGAGGCTCCTCAGTTTTTCCTGTCTGGCCAGGGTTTCATGCTTGGGGAATGGAGCATCTCTCATACCAGCCTTTCCCCAGCTGCACTATGTGAGTGACCCACCTGGGCAGCTTATGAAGGTGTAGGGTCTGGGGCAGGAGGCCGGGGTGGGCCAGGGCCTGTTTCCAGCAAGCCCTCAAGGAGGCTCATTGCCGGGAGCTCACGCTGATACAAGGGCCCACACTTCAGGCATATGCCCATCTGAAGATGGTCTGGAGCTTCAAGTTCAGGACCCATGACAGGCTCTGAAGCCACAGCCCCACACTGGGATGGCTCTCTGTACACAGGAGGACCTGAACATTCTCATCTGACCACGAAAATCAGAGGGCATGAGGGACAGTGGAAGAGCAAGGCCAACTCATAGCTGTACCTAACCCCAGAGGGACAAGGGTAGGCTTGGGGGAAGGCACCCCGTCCCAGAAGAGCATAGCACTGAGCTACATACCTGAAAAATGTGGTACTTCATGTCGCTGATCTCGATGGTCTTGCTGCTGTCCCCATCTTGTTCTGATCTATTGGTCATTAGTGTCTTGAACCTGGGGCAAAAAAGATGAACCAAGGAGAGGCTTGAACATGACTTCTCACTCCATCATCGTGGCGGAAGGCACCGTCTGTCGCCTGACCAGCAATTGGAAGACGGAGCACTGTAAAAAATGACTGCTGTGTTCCCAAAATAACTTGAGGCAAGTGACATTTTATATCATCCTGGGATGATGGCTGGCCTGATGACTCTGGTGGAGCCCTGCCTCTTCATTTCAGAAGCAATAATTCAGCAGGACGGACAGCCCTTCCTCTGAGCTCTCCTGTTACACTCTGGGCCCTGCTCCTACTGTGCCTGCTATGCAGTCTGTCTCAGCACCCCGCCGCCCCCCCCCCCATACACACACACACCAGGGGTAGAGGGGACTCTGGTGACAGGAAGGGCCTGCAAGTGCTACTGCTTCTGGCTGCTCTGCTCTAGCACCTCCAATCTGACTAGCTGCCGCTGTTACCCGTGGCTCGTACCTGTTGGAAGCTGTCACCAGCAGGACTTTGTGTGCATAAAACAGCTTTCCTTCTACCAGGAAGGTCACATCTGACATCTCCTTGTTGTTCAGAAAGTGAGGGTCTGTGAAAAGGGTAAGACGGGAAACTGGCGGAGGTGCCCACATCTAGGGCTCCTAAGTGTGCTGAGGGAGGGGATGGGGCACAAAGGGGAGAAAAGGAAGAGGAGACAGGCCTCACCTAGCCTGGCTGGCAGGGTCTTCCGGATCTCTGGGATGCTGGGGATGGGGCTGCTGCCGTAGCAGTGTGTGAAGATGGTGGCCAGCTGCTGGATGACTGAGTCATTCTGTGGGAGGCGGAGAGGGCCCATGAACCACCACTGCCCCTCTATTGCTGCAGATATGTCAGTTTATTTCAAGGTTTAGGCTAGGATTACAGCAGCCGCTGTCTTGTTCTGCTGGAACTGGCTTGGCCAGACTACAGCCCAGATAGAGCTTCGGCCTCTGCCCTCGCAGCCAGGCTGGACAAGCCCCGCTGCTAGGGTGCCCATGTCTTGGTCACACTCACCTTGCTGGTCTTGAGGATGTCAAACATGAGCTGCAAACCCTCGGTCACCAGCTCCTCATTGTATTCCTCCTCCTTGATGGAGCTGAAGTCCCGCAGCAGGCTCTGCACCACCGAGTACCTCGACTGGGAGAAGGAGGTCCGCAGAGACTCGATCCAGATGTGCAGCTTCCAGGGGACACCTGCCAGTGGGGGAGGCGTCATTCACCTCGCAAGGCACTTCAGCACAGACCCTATGACAGGCTCTCACCATGACCCCCTACCTGGCCACCTGCCCCATCCCTGTGAACTGAGTGACAACTCCCAGTGTGGCTGTGTGATGAGAGCACTAATTCATGTAGAGGCCTCACTGGTCAGCCAGAGGGCCATCTCAGGTTCTCATCACCTGAGGTGGAGGAATGACTTCAGCCCAAGTGCAGGGGATCCAATCTCTAAAAATCCACCACCAAACCTGTGGATCTCTTTCCTCATTGCTTGTTGGGCCCTAGAATTATTTGCTGGGGAAGATCCACTAATTCTGGAGGGGTGGCCAGGTAGACGTGGATACCCCAGAAAGTATGCAGGACATTCAAGAACAAGGGCCCCATCCTATACAGAAACCTGAAATGAACCCTGTCCTATCACAGAGGGGTTCCCAGCAGCCAGCTTGGTATGCCAGTGCACATCTAGGTGTATAATGTTTACCAGTTCCCTGGAGTGTGTCAGCGGGGCCACAGAGTAATTTAAAACTGCTATGTGAAGTTCAAGACAAAAACCAGTCATTCCTGGCACTTAGAGTGGTAGCTTCTCACCCCGCAGCCTGACGGAATTAAAAAGGCCCCGTGGCCTTGCCCAGAGACCCAGGGAGGTGGGTGGGGCCAGCACACTGGGCAGGAGTGATGTCCCCATTTCCCAGCAGAGCCGCCTCGCTGCTTTTCTGGCCCAGCCCTGAGGGTTTGTGCACTATGGCCCTGGGTAATAACAACATTGCTATCACAGTGGGTACCAGGTATCATAGTGGGTACCAGGCCTCGTGCTTCGGGTGATGCCTTCCCATTCTTAGTTGATCATCAGCACTAAACCCATGGGAAGAGAGGCATCTGGGACTCGGGTACTGCATGGTGTGCAGCTAACAGGACCTGGCTCAAGTAGGTCTGTCTGACCAGCCTCCCTGGAGGACACAAAGTCCTCAGCCTTGTACACCCAAGCACTGAAAGGTTGGGCAAGCAACCGGACCTGGTGACTCTCTGTGTACAAATCCTCAGGGTGCCACAGAAGCTCCCAGTGCTCTGTTTCTGGGCTGTGACCAGGGAGGAGGGCAGGCCAGAGGCACTAGAAGGCATGGGGCCATGACTTCCTGATTTGTCACTGCTAAGGACCATCTGAGGCCCAGGGCATCACTTGTCCTGGTCAGGGAGCAGACATGCCCCAGCCACACCTGTGCTCAGCTGCCCAGAGGCCTCGGTCTACCCTGCAGGTCCCAGCCCTCTGGCCTGCTGGGTGACTGCATGCCCGGGTGTAGGTGTGCTTGCTGTGTGCATGTCTGCACGCCTGCGGGGCCTCACCCAGTGCCCTCAGCTCCATGGTGATGTCCACGTAGCCGTGCTCAGCGCTGTAGTACATGGCCTCCTGCAGGGCCTTCGTGCGTGTTCGGCTCAGCCGCATGGGCCCCTCGCTGCCGCTGCCCTGGCTCGAGGTGTCACTTTCCTCCACGCCTTCAGCCAGGATCTCCTCCAGGGACAGCACATCTGCTTTGGCCTGTTGTGGCTGAGTCAGGAGCTTCCTCAGGACATTCCTGTGGGCCAAAGGATAAGACCTGAGGTCCCCTACATGAATGGGCAGTGCCCATCTGAGCGGCCTTCTAGAGCCTTGTGGCCCAGATGGGCTGCTGCAGGGCACCTGAGGGGCTCCTTCCCCTCCCACAAAGGTACCCATCTCCAGCCATCTGCAAGAGAAAAGGGAGGGTGCAAGGGACCCCCCCCCCCCCTTCTGCTATCCTGTATTACTGAGGTATCAAAGGCTTTGGGGCTAAGCAGTCCCTGACATCTTGGCTATGGGATCTCACATAGACTGAGCCCTGACTGCTCTGTCACCTGTAAGACAGGGCACTAGCATCACCCTCTCCAGACGCTGATATTAAGCCACTGTGCGCCTGCAGAGCCTGACGTGTGGCAGCAACTCCTGTACAGCAGCACACATAAAAGTGCCTGAAACGGGGACACACCTAGGCAGTCCGCATTTGTTCTTGAGTCAATGAGGAGGAAGTGAATAAGACAGTACGTAAGCAGTCCGGTCCCCGTGCCGTCCTATGTGGAACTCATACAAATGTAGAATGGGAGGCTCAACAAGTGCCGCGTCCCCCAGGCTTCACCGGTTACAGATTAAGACCGACCACATCTTGCTCTAGGTCACGCTGGGAGCAGTGCAGACCAGCCTCCTCCTGTGACATCCTGGGGTGGCTTCAGCACAGTGGGACCCAAATGTCACCTAGGGGCCAGGCCTTCTCCACACCTCTCCAAACTCACAGAGCCTGTGTCCCAGAGAGGCAGAGAAACAAACAGCTGCCCACAGGGTGGAGAGGCCACTTGGGGGTAAACACAGTGCAGAGTGGGGCAGAGAGGCCCAGGCAGGATGGACAGACTGGACCAGAAGGGAGGTGAATTTAGGTGGGTGAGTACAGAGGACAAGAATGGGGGACCAGGCACTGCAAGAACACAAGACTTGTGGTGAGAAGCCACCTGAGAGCTGCAAGCAGGTGACTGGCCCACCAGCCCTTTTCTGGCTCCTTCTTTGCCCTCTAATAACCTCTTTTTTCCTCTGCCTGCCCCGCCACTCCAGGACGGTCTTGCTGTAGTTTGACTGTTAAAACCCTGGGAAGATCCACCATCTGTTTCTGGAGCAACAGGAGCTTCCACCTGGGTGAGCCATACACTTTGTGAAAGTCCCTAAGGTACCCTGAAATTGCCACCAAGCATGAAGGGGAAGTGATCTTGAGCAGACCCTGCAGCCAACTTATTGGAAAATGGGACTGTCTACTCAGTTCCAGTCTGAGCCACCCACCACCAGTGTCCCCAGGCCTCCACTGTTTAGGCCCCTGTGGATCTGCATCTTTCTCATTGACATAGGCTCTAGCTTCTGGAAAGGCTGCTCTTCTGCTACCACTTGGGGTGTGTGTGTCCAGGCTGCTGAGAGGTTGTTTTAATGCCCCCAGGTCAGGTGGGGCAGGCACCCTGGGGGCAGGTACCTGTGGCCATGGGCGGCTGAGTGGCTGAAGCAGTTCATGTCCTCGTGGAGGGAGGACGCCATGCCATTGGCCTCGAGCATGCTGAGGAGGGGGTCGGCGCCTCGGCCCAGCAGCAAGCTGACCAGTTCGTAGTTCCCTAAAAGACAAGGGGTTAATGCCAGGACAATGAGATGGTGGCTGACCAGGAATGCTGGGGCAAAAGAGATGGGGACAGGGGCACTCTAAACTCTGAATACGGGCGTGGGGAGCCACGCTGACTGCATGTGGTGCAGATGGAGTGCTGGTGAGAGGTAGAGAGGAGGAAGGTGTATCCTGCCCCACCTCCCCTGCTGACCTGTCTGGGGACCACACACAGCAGAAACACTGATGGATGGGGACAAGGGGAAACTCCCAGTGGCCCAGGAGGGATTTCAAGCATCCCCAAAGGGAGTGTGTGGCCAAATGCCCAGCCTGGTGATTCCACAGGGTAGACGGAGCCTCCTGGCAATGAGAGGTCTGGCTGGGCAGGGCAGTGGGGTACCTACCAGCCGCAGAGGCCAGCTGCAGGGGTGTCTCCGCATAGCTGTCCTCACCACTGTTCACTGCTGAGCCCTCCACATGGGCACCAGCATCCAGCAGCAGCTGCCAGGACACAGGGGGAGGACATCACTCAGTGCACAGGGGGGCTAGGGGACAGTTCTCCCCAGCCATGTGATCAAGACATGGCTCATCCTGGCCCCTGAAGAACTGGACTTTTAGAACTCCTGGTTACCCTCAGGGCTCAGAAATTCTAGAAGCTTCAACTCCACTCTTGTGAACCTGGGCCATGAAATTATGAGTCACTGCTCTTTTTCAAATGCTTTCCCAAATGCGTCAGTTACCTTTCTGAGAACTCACACAGATGACAGAATAGAGAGTGTCACTAGTGACCTACAGTGGGAAACTGAGGCCCTGGGAGGCAGCAGGGTGCCGTTCTGGACACTGACCAGTGAGTGACCCAGGGCAGAGACATCAACACCCTGAGCTTCAGTCTTCCCTGTCTGCAAGATGGGAGGAGAGGCCTGCCCTGTGGTGCTGCCGAGATTAAATGAAGTGAATCAGCTCAGCCCACGATGGGCTGAAGACCTAGTACCCCAGGCTGGCAAGTGAGGGAGCCGGGCAGAATGTCACACACTGTCCAGGACAACAAATGGCCTCTCCTTGCTCCATCAGGGGCAGGCTTAACAGATACCAAGTAGTTCCAGGAGGGCTGGGCCTGGCCTGGCCTGGCCCTTGGGCAGGGGCAGTGCCTAGGCTGACTCTCAGATCCACTCGAGGGTGGGGGGGTGGGGGCCACCTGCTGGAGGCTTGTCAGTCAGAAATCAGTCACTCCCACTGCCTGGGTCAGTGCAGAGGAAGGCCTGCCCGACAGGGTGAAACTGGGCGCTAGTCCAGGCAAGCCCAGGGCACACCCTATGGGCCCTCTGCTCAGGTGCTCATAGGGCAGTAACTGCAAAGCAGGCCAGGTGAGGTAACCAGCCAGGCAATGACCACTTGGAGTCCCTAGTATAGGTCAGGGTTAGGTTGACAAACACCAATAAGCTCGATACAATCTGTGCCCTCAGAACTTCCAATCTATCAGGGGACAAGAGATAATATGGGCTTCCATGAGGAAGGGCCAGGAAACCCTGCAGGCACCAGTGACCCGAGGACCTGGGAGTTGAGTGGTGTGTGGCCGTGTGCCTGCTGCTCTGCCCACAGCTTCCATTCCTAGAACCCCCACCCCACCCCACGCCAGCGGGGCATCCTAGGCCAAGGTGGGCAGCAATGTAGCTTGGCTTGACAGCTGAGCTGTGCCAGCTGTCCTCTCTCAGGACCTGGAAACAGACCAAGCCTATACATGGGGAGGGGGCAGAACTGGAAGGACACCAAGGCATAGAGCCAGATTGTCAGTACACACAGAGGTCAGAGGTGAGAAGCTCCAGCATGTGCTTAGGGTGCATATGTGAGAGGAACTGAGGCCTGACCTGTTCTGCTTGGGTCTGGTTCTTGTTTCCCACAATTCTACACATATCCTTCTACTTGCTCCTTTCTCGAGGCACACTGGGTGGGCTGCTGCCCTGCTGATCAGGGAGCCGGCTTTAAACAGTCTCTCTGAGGTCTGATTCATAGCAGCTGCCCTTAGGGGTGACACTGGGGCGATGCTTGGGGCCCAGTCCACCTGGGAAGCAGGGGCATGCTGTGCACCTGGGAGGGGCTCACCTGGACTACAGAGATGTGTCCATGCAGCACGGCAAATGTCAGGGAGGTCCAGTGCCTGCTATCAGGGTGGATGGAGGGGTGCCTGGGAGAGTTGCTTGGAACCTGGAGAAAACAACACATGATTAGGGTAGATGACCTTAGGGTAGGTGACATTCCTGGGCAGGTGACACAGGCATCTTAATGAAGGGGATGGTGAACTGGAGTCAATTCAAGTGCTTTCTACCTACATTCAGTTGGTAACGTCTATCTGGAGCACTGTGTGGATAAAGCTCAAAAAGAAAGGGTAGCAATTAAAGAAATGCAAATTAAAACTACACTGAGATTCCATCTTACTCCAGTCAGAATGGCAGTTATAAAGGATACAAGGGACAATAAATGTTCGTGTGGATGTGGTGAGAAAGGTACTCTCATACATTGCTGGTGGATATTGGTGCAACCAATTATGCAAAGCAGCATGGAGATTCCTTAGAAAACTTGGAATGGAGCCACCATTTGATCCAGTTATCCCACTCCTCAGTCTATACCCCAAAGACTTAAAAACAGCCTACTACAGTGACGCAGCCACATACTTTTTTTTTTTTTTTTTTGTGGTGCTGGGGATGGAACCCAGGCCTTGTGCCTGCGAGGAAAGTACTCTATCAACTGAGCTATATCCCCAGCCCCACATCCATGTTTATAGCAGCTCAACTCACAATAGCTAAGCTATGGAAACAACCTAGGTGTCCTTTAATGGATGAATGGATAAAGAAAATGTGTGGGGTATGTGTATGTATATACACACACACAATGGAATATTCTTCAGCCATAAAGAAGAATGAAATTATGGCATTTGCCAGTAAATGGATGGAACTAGAGAATGTCATGCTAAGTGAAATAAGCCTATCTGAAAAAACCAAAGGCCAAATGTTCTCTGATTTGCGGAATAATAGAAATAGATTGGACTAGACAAAGGGTAATGAGGGGAAGGGAATAGGAAAGACAGTAGAATTAATTGATCATAACTTTCCTGGCCTTGTATTTGTATACACAAACGGTAAGTCCACATCATGTACGACCACAAGAGTGGGAACCTAATAGAGTAAGTTATACTTTATATATTTATATTCTGTCAAAATACATTCTACTATCAGGTATAACTAAAAATAAAAAAAAAATTTAAAAGGGTAGATGTCCAATTAATGATGTAAATATTCTTGGGCAAAAGATGGCAGAAGACCACATTATGTCTCAGAGACACAGGGAGAAGTATTTGGGTATGATGGGGAGGGCTTGGGGTTAGGCTGGTAAACGGGGAATGGTTCTGTAGAAAAAGAATCCTGGCCATTCTCTTTCCTGTCAGCTCACCCTCTCAGCCCAAATGTTAAGGAAACTGTTCTTTGTAATGATCTCTGTGTATTTTTTATTTCTATTCTCTTGAGACATCGACCCAGTTGTCTGAAAAATCACCCACAGCCTGTCTGGTGGAGACCCTGGGGTGCTCTTGCCAAGTGAGGGCCTGGCACCGTCCTGCTGCTTGCTCACCTGGACATCCAGATTTGCCCCAGCATCAATGAGCATCTGTACCATGGCCTCGTCCCCCGCAGCACATGCGTACATCAGCGGTGTCATACCCTGCGTGAACCAAAGGCAGGTGCTCAGCGGTCTGGAACAGGACACAACACCCCATATCCCGTAGGCCTTTGCCTCAGAAATGCCAGACGTGGGTCTCCTGCCTGACCCAACTGCTCATCCCGAAGTCCCCTGCACCTTGTGCATCCTAGGCCCCTTGGACACAGGGCACCCGCAGGCTGAGCAGTTGCAATCCCACAAGCTCCGCAGATACCAGAGGGAGACAAGCAAGGGCCCACAGCCAGACTTGGGCACAACAGCTACCTCTGCCGAGGGAACTATAAACTGTACAAGTTACGAGTCCTCTCTGGGCCTCGGTTTCGTCCTCTTTAGCACAGGAATGACAGCTGTGTCTACCTCACAGGGCTGCAGAAAAGAGGGTGAGTTTATACATAGACGGGGCTGAGCACAGGGAGTAGGCTGGCATCGCCACTGTTATGGAGGAGGACTGCAGGGGCCCACCCTCCCTGCCAGGGCAGGGGTCACTATGGGTGGGCCACATACAGCAGCTGGCTTGGTCACTGGGCTGTTCCCGCGAGGCAGGCTCTACTATGAGCTCCGCTTCACGGATGAGAAGCTGAAAAGGGGAATTAACTGCGGAACTGGGACAGGAACCCAGGTCCATGTGAGCTTTGCAGCGTCACAAGAGAGAGACTGAGATTCCTATTTTGTGTGGCAGAGTAGTCCACGTAGGGGCTCCCTCCTGGTTTGGCGGGCAGTTCCCAGCGCTGCCTCCATGGTGGGTGACAGGGCAGGGGGAGAGTGCGGAGCTATCTCTCAGGTGTAAGTGTGTAGATGAGTCTCTTTACCTCACAATCCTTGCCTAGTGCCCAGAGATACAGAAATGGCCTGGTCACCCACACATCATTCTACTAACGCCAAGTTTAAGGAACAATAGGCTGAGCCTTTGTAGAAAAGTCAACAGCAAAAGAATGAAAATTTGGCTTGTTTCACCCCTCTGTTCACACACTTGACTTTTTGCTCCATGCATCTGTTCACAAGTCTAAGCTTAATGTAGGCTCGAAGCCCTGGAGGAACTACCTTTCGGGTTGTTTCTACCCCGTTTTCAGGGACATCCAGAGGCTAGCGAGGCCTCGATGGACAGATTCTAGGAGCACCATCATACTGCCAGCAACCTGAACAATCATATCAATAGCAAAGCCCAGAGTGAATATCTACTGAGCATGCACTAGCTGTTAGTGGAGAATTCTCAGCATCACCCCACTTGGCGGTACTATGACTCCATCTTAGAGGTGGGGCCATAGCTCCCTGGGGAGGTATTGTGACTTGTCCAAGGTAGACTAAACCCTCAGTTTGTCGAAGCTAAAGTCCACGGGCTTCCACATTGTGCTGCTGAGGGAGGGGGACAGCAGCCAGATGAAGGCTCCCGTGAAGCCCTGGCACCTGTTTTGACCGAGAGGCCTGTGTGAGATCCAGTGAGAATGTCAAGTCCACAAAGGCAAAGGGTTTCCATGGGCCTGGTACAAGCAGGCCCGTAGGTGTTAGGGATCACGATCCATAGCTTGAGGCTGAACTGACTCCTCTGGGCTCTTTCCCAGCCTTGTACCAGCTGAGACAGTCACCAGTCCTCTAGACAGGGAAGAAGAAGTCACATTCCCAGGGTTGTCCAAGGGGTGCCCGGGAACGTCCAGGCTGACATTCTATCTAGAATGGGAGACAGCTCACCTCTCTGAAGCACAGAGCTGAGTAACTCTCAGGTTTCTGACAGAGGGGACTATGTCTCTGGCAATTTGTCAATCCCTGAGTCTGGTCCCTAAGCCCCTCCTCGTGGAGCTCTCAGAAGTTACCTGGTCATCCATGGTGTTCACCCCATCCGGCCCCAGGGCCTCGATGGCCTGGTTGATGAGGTCCGTCCTCCCGCAGTTGAGCATGCGGAAACCCAGGTCCTGGTTGAATTTTTCAGTAGCAGCTCGGGCATCCAGCCTCCGGAAGGAACTGAAACTGCACTCGGGTCTGCACAGAAGAGACCAGGAGGTGTGTGAGCGCGACATACTAGGACCCTGCCTGTCAATGACCCACGACACAGCTGGACTGGGCTAACGTGTACAGTGAGCATGGCTAGGGTGGGGGAAGGACTGGGACCAACACTCGGGTCAGTCGTGGTGGTCTCACCATGTTCTGTAACAAGAAGAGCACACACTTGTTTTTCTATAAACAGGTTAAATAAGTGTGCCGAGCTCTGGAGAGCTGTCAACTGTCAGGGATCAAGCTCTGAACTAAAATAATCTCCCAGGGGCTGCTCTGCAGAGGAAACATTGGCCGATTGGACCTTTGCTCAGAGCAGGCTGCCCTCTACCTAGAGTGTGCTTATGGTGGCCAAGTTCTAGTTGCCGCTGTGTCTCTCTTTAAGAGTTCCAGGGGAGGCCCAGAAGTCTCAAAGGTAGGGAGAGGTCTGGAATCTCACTTGCAATCGACTCTACTAAGGAGAGTTGCAGATAAAATGTGCGTCTACAGAGGGCAAATGGCAGATGCCCAACGGGCAGCTTCCGCTGTGATCGTTGGTTGGGTCAGTGTGGAGCATGGTTCAGGCCTGGGCCATGCAGATCAAGGAGGCCATAATTGGGGTTTGGGCAGAGGTCAAAAATTTGGGTTTGGACAACACTCGGTCTTGGCATTTGTAGAGAACACCCTTAGAGCAGCTTGAATGGGCTGTAGCCCCAGCTCTCTGACCCCCTCCCACCACTAGAGGAAAAAGGGAGAAGAGGAGAATTTCCAGTGGCTGGACACGGGTACTTACTTGAGCTGTCGGGGCTCGCAGTCCAGGCCGGGCAGCAGGAGCCGGGCCGCCTGCCGGATGTCGCCGCTGTCCACCGTGAGGCTGCGGCGGTGCTCTGCATAGGTAATGGCCACGCGCATCCACTCCATCAGCGGTGGCAGCAGCATGAAGGGCCTGGGAGCAGCAGAGAGAGGTCAGGTCTCGGTGGGACGCTTCCTGAAGCAAGGGGGCCCCTTCGGTTCATGTGGTCTCAGAAAATGGCCACGAAGTCGAATCACCCCATAACCTGCAGGCTGCGAGGTGTGGAGGGGACCTGGTCCTTCTGCTCAGAGACCTCAATGCCCCCCATTCCACAGAAAGCTTGTCAAGGGTCAGGAGGAATTGCCATGATGGCTGTACTAAGCAGAGCTCAGGGTCTATAAATGGCAGTGAGAGGAGGCCTGCCAGTGTGCACAATGGAGACTCCTGCCCCCTCCAGGGATTCAGTGGCCAGGTTCTCTCTCTGAAGGGGGGAAAGGTTGTCCCCTGAATAGTAGATGCAGACCCAAACTCTAGACACGCTAGTGTCACCTCAGCATCCAAAATACCGTCTTTAACTGCCGTAGAGTGCAACCTGGGTTTTCCGGGGCTGCGGGGCAGCTGGATGAGATGAGACACATCACACCACACATGTATAGTTCACGGCCATTGCTCCCTTGGCTGGAGCCCAGGCTGAGGTGGTCCCTACAACCTCCTGGGTCAGCCCAGGGTGGCTCCAGCCTGGTACTCAGGGAGGAGTCACAGTCCAAAGTCCTATGGGAAGATCAGTCCCAGGAGGCCTCTGTGACACCAAAAGCCCACGGCCATGGTGCAGGACAACTGAAGGGTCGCCAGTAAAGCTGCTGAGTTGCAAGTTCCAGGGGACACCTTTCAAAGCATGCTATGTGCCACCAGGGGGCGCCATTCACGCCATTCATGGTGACTCGATGGTCACCCAGCCTGCTGTCCATCCGGAATGGGCTTCCCTCACAGGAGCCCAAGAAGGCAGCCCTGGAACCCCGCCCCTCACGGCTGTTCTCTCTCATGATAGCCCAAGAGTTGGCCTCCTGTCTAAGTCCCCAGCCCCTCCTGATGCCCCATCCCACAACCCTTCCTTTTAAGCTAAGCCAGGGAGCAGGCGCCAGGCCCCACACACACCACTTCCTGATACCCGGGGCTCTCAGGCAGTGGGCCTGTGTGCCACCGTCTTTCCGCTTGACACACTCCAAAGCACTCCAGCCAGGAAAAAGATGTGCTCTCCCTGCTCAGTTTCTTCAGGTAACCTCCAAAGACTGCCCTGTCACTTATCCCATGTCTCTAAAACCTCAGGCTATTGCCATAGTTTTAAAAGTTCCTCTCCTTGAGGGCAAAAGATGCTTAAAACACACACACACACACACACACACACACACAGTGAGTGAGAGAGAAATCAGATGTGACCTTGAAAGTGGCTCTTTTGGGAAGCTATTCTGATGTTCTGGTTCTGCTGGTACAGAAAATCTATCTGGGTTTGTGTCACTGAACTGGTCTACCATGTGGACACAGGGAGGCCACAGGCTGGAAAGGCCTCACAGTGTCCTGACCTTCAAGGGGGCCCAGAGCCTCACTCCACTTTATCTGGCCCTGAATACCTGTTACCAGGACATGGCTGACCAGCAGCCCTTGAGGTTCTCCAGCCCACCCTGCCCACTCCCAACTCTTCGTCAGAGGGGTCAGTTTTCGACTCTGCCTGTCTAGATTCTATTTGTCCTTCAAGGCCCCATTCCAATGTCACCTCTTTCCAGAAGCCTTCCCAAATTCTCTCTCAAAGCCATCTCTTCCTGCTCTGAAACCCCCTAGACCTCAGTCTTCCAGCAGTAAAGCTGTGTCCCATGTTCCTGCTAATGTCAGGAGTGGTGCCCTCCTCATCTCTGTATTCTCCAAAGCCTGTGCAACAGATCCTCTGTGAATGTTTGCTGAATGGCTGAAAGTAGGGATCAGCATCAGCATCACATATCCAGGCCTTCAGTTATGGGCCAAGTCACGTTTCTTCCCAGTTAAGAATGACGTCTGATTTTGAAGGGCACAGTGTTGACTCACTAGAGTAGGAAGTTAGAACTTTATGGGGGAACTTGTGTAATCTAGAGAGGAAAAACAAGCCGTTCACAAATTATCCCTCTGCTAACAAGATCTCCCTTGATTATAACTGCTCATGTGAATTCCCCCCTGCCAAATATTTTTTTGTGAATTTCAAAAAAATACCATTCAAAAATTCATTACAAGGCTGGAAGACAATCTCAGAGAGACACTTGTACCTACCAGTCCTCCTAATCTGAGGAGACGACTTTGGTTAAACCATTAGCAGTGGTGACTGACGTGTAAATAAAAAGATAACTGGTGGCTCTGCCAGCCATTCTTTCCTATTGTGGCCAGAAGCCAGGATGATGTGCCAAGTGCGGCTGCTAAAGCTCTAAGTGGGCATCTCCCAGCTGCACTATGGGAAACCCAAGAGGGAGTTTGGGAAATCATGAAGCCTAACCAGATGGTGTCTTGACTCATTCTCCCGCTTCATGCCTCTTAGAACTCAGCACATGAGAAAATGCAGTATTGATAACCTCAGTGGGTGTATGCTGGGGACTGGCTCATGCTGCCTCCATTGTATCATCTTGCTTAGGCACTGGAAAGTTGAAAACCATACTTCCCAGACTCCTTTGCACCTGGGGTTCAACATTCAAATTAGATTTCCCCATTAAGATGCTGCTTATGAGTTCCTGTAAGTGACTGTGAGGCAGAGGCCACCTTTGTGTTCTTTCTGTTAGTAAATGAGGTCATGAAAGCATCAGATCTTTTTCCCCCCTACATACAGAACATTCCAATGTCTACTTTCTTTCTTCCTTATGTTCCAGAGGCAGTGCAGTGGTGGTAAAAGCAGCAAAGACTTCCTGATTCTGGCTTTAAGGTGTTGTCCTTGCAGCCATTCCTGAAGGCTCGGTCTAGAATCTGCTCCTGAGGCCCTTCCCGTAATTCTGTTAGTGCCCAATACCCTTCCTTAAATCCCTTCCTACTTAAAATACTTAGTGCAGTTTCTGTTTCCTGAATTAAACTTTGATCAATATTCTTATAATACAGAGAAATTTAGATCATCCCTCTGCTTCTGGGTAGTGGTTAGTACCCATCCACTGCCAAATAAGGCTGTACCTGCCCCAGTCCAACTTTGTCAGGCCTTTCTCCTTAGCCAACTCACTCCCTGGCCTGAGGTCCTAGAACAGGTGAAGAGATAAGCGATTCACAGGCTTTCTCAGCAACATGCCCCCCGGGGGCTATGGGTTTCAGGATGCTGTTTCCTTTCTGGTAATTTCAACTAGCCCACTGAGCTTGTTGAGTAGAGCTGGCCTACATTACTGGACATTCTGGAAAATCCCTATAAAAATTCCCATCTGCAATGGCCATGACTGTGTTCTAAGTCCAGGGTAAAAGGGCCTGGAGGAGCAAGGCTGAGGACCACTGATGCATGTGCTTTCCTCAAGGTCTCTCTGCCTTGTTCCTTCCCAAAGCAGAAGGCCATTTCCCACTTCTTGCCTCTGCCGGGCCTAAGCCCAGTTGCAAGTCTTTCTGTGCCAGAGTGTAGGTGTCAGGACCAGGAAACCTGCCTTGCCCAGTCCTTCTGCCTCATGAGTTTCTCTCAGCCTGGGTCTGATAACTCAAGAGTAGTGGTTCTCAGATAGTTTTGGTTTCAGGACACTTTTCATACTTTCTAAAAATTATCAAGAACCTCAAAGAGATTTTAGGTGTGTTATTCTATTGATGCATGGCCATCAGAAATTGAAACCGAGAAAATGCTAAAATGCATGAATCTATAACTAACTCCATATCCCATTAGCTGTTAGAGTGACATCACCATCACATCACATGGTGTCTGGAAACCCCTCTCTCCCATGACAAGGATGAAAATACAAATAACATCTTATTTATTTATTTTTTTTTTTTGTGGTACAGGGGATTGAATCTGCTCCTGAGGCCCTTGAATGTACTAGGCAAGTGCTCTGAGCTATACCCTCAGCCCTTTATATTTTATTTTGAAACAAGGTCTTGTTAAGTTGCTGAGGTTGGCCTTGAACTTGAGATTCTTCTGCTTTAGCTTCCAGAGTGGCTGGGATTACAGGTGGGGGCCACTGTGCCTGGCTGCAAATAGTATCTTCTGAAAACAAGCTGTGGACTCCTAGAAAGAGTCTCTGGGACCATACTGGAAGGACCTCAGCCTTAGAAGACCATGGCGGATCCCTAAGACAACACTGCTTGGGGTGGGCAGGCAGTAGAGGCATGGGGCAGGACTCTCCCCTCTGGTGGCACAAGATCTGGGGAAAATGCCAGTGTGGCATATGGTTTGCATGCACAATCCTGGCACAGGGATCTGAGGCTCCTAGACCCCTTCCCTGAGGCTTCCTCACTTGGAGAAAGTTCTAGTTTCTTCAATACAATTGAACTTGGGCATATCATTACTCTCCTTGGGCCGGGCCTGTTTTTCTATTGAGAAAGTGGTGAAGTTAGTGGCTTGTAGACTTTTTCAATGATGAAAACCCCTCTCCTCTTGTTTCAGTGATTCCACATGAAAGTAGCTGTGCCTTCTGCAGAGTTCAAGTGCACGGGCTCTGGGGCATTCCCAATGAATCAAACGTGTGACTCCATGCATGTTGGCTCCCCTCTCCCAGCCTCAGTTGCCTCATGAGCAAAAGGGGTCTAAATCAGAAAACCACCTCCTAAGATGGTGGGAAACACATATGCAAAGTGCTGAGCTCAGTGATTGGAACGTGGTCGTTCTCTGCAAACCTTAACTATGACTGTGAGTTTAGTATCTGTTGATAGAAAAAACACACAACAGCAACAAAGGCCATAGGAATCTGGTTCTATTAAATGCCTCAGCCCCAGCCCTCCCAGTCCAGCCAACCACCCCGCCTCCTCCCTGACAGCAAGTATAAACACGTAAAGCCAGCAGAAGCCTGCCCGCGAGCGGCCCACCAGTGCTCAGCCCGGCTCATAAACCAGAGAAAACAAATGCAACCACTATGCTGAGTGTGGGCTGCGGGCTCTCTGGCAGCACCGGCTCTCCGCCTTGGCAGCAAAGAAACAGAGACAGGAGACCCAGGTGTCACTACTGTTCGGTTTCTTTTCATCTCTCC